CCTGAAGAGAAAAGTCAATTTTCTGAACTCACTTTTGAAATCAACCACATCCAACTGCCGTGGTTCGACTGCTCGCTGATCTTTCAACTTGTTGGTCAAAGGGACGAAACGAGAGCTATTTTCAGGTTGGCCGATGACATATAACGCCAAATCGTCGCAATCGAGCAGTTTATCCACTATCGCTTCATGAGGTGCTTAAAAGCAGGCTACTGATTAGTTTTCGAATTCTTCAAAATTGCCCGAGTGAGATAAACAGATCAGCTCTCATGACGCTAACATATTTGAGGAATAGGAAGGAGGGGGGGGGGAGAATGGTGGAGCCTTTCACTGCGTCTTATGGTCCTTTTCCCCAACCGCGGCTCATACGTATGGCGAGTGCGGAGCTGTGCTTTCCAATCGCTGAGTCTGCGTTCATACTTTACGGCAGCGTCCATCAGCGACCTACAGCGTCCACCAGCGGCCTTCGGCTTCCACTAGCGTCCGCGAGCGACTGTCTCGATGGGCTAAGGAACTTTGGGTATCGTTCCGTTCAGGGGTACGGTAATGTGTAGTGGTACGGTGCGCTTGCACCTAGCTGTCTGCTACTCCCACCTCCACTACTTCCCCATGCTCTCTATCCTTAGTCGCTGGTAGGAGCTGGTAGACGTTGGTGCTGGTAGACGCTACCATTTATTAGATTGATAGCTACACTGACGACTTTGTAAAATTACCCAAAATTATTGATTACGCAAGAACTCACATGCGCAGCGAATTCGTCGCAGCGCGGTCTACCACGCGAGGCAGCGGCATATGTACGATCCTATTGCTATATGCCTCAAAATTCGTGTATGCGACCAAATAGTAATACGCCACGGAGGTGGGCATGGCCAGCGAGCGGACGAGATATCTTGCTTGGCCCTTCTGCACATCGACGTTTTATACTCACATATCCGATGGTGCCAACGTATTACGCATTGGTTAAGACGCACAAGTTCTCTGAAGAAGTGGACTTGCGACGCGTCGACGAAGATTCAATCAAAGTCAGACCAATCATATCGTCATGTGGAGGCCCTTCGGATAGAGTGAGCTGGTTCTCACGAAGCTCCTGTCGCCGCTTCTGCAACATGTTGCGGCTCATTTAGTTAACGCAGGAGAATTCATATCAGCTTTGGATCGATGTGAGATACCCGATGATGCTTCGTATGCGAGCTTCGACGCGGTTTCTTTGTATACCAACGTGGACTGTAGATGAAGCTATCAAATTCTGTGATGAACTACTGCGACAACATCATGATGAAGTACACACATTCGGATTGATGGAGGAAGATTTGCGAGAGCTCTTATTAGCAGTATTGAAATGTAACATCTTCCAGTTTGGCAGCATGTTCTACAGAAGCGAGGGCTTGCCATGGGATTGAGGATCTCGCCGCTACTAGCCATCGTCTATTTGGATCGGATTGAAAGAAGATCTCTGATCACTGGTATTGTATTTTACAAGCGCTACATAGACGATGTCTTCGTGGTCAGTTCTACCGCCGATGTGATGGGCACGATGCTTCAGAATTTGAACTCATGTGACCCGAACATACGTTTTACGGTGGAACATCCAGACGAACGCGGCTTTCTACCATTCCTTAACACGAAGGTCCGGATAAACCATGGCAATAAGGAGATCGAATGGTACAAGAAACCGATGTCAAAGAATATCCTTCTGCATTCTCGAAGTGCGCATCCACTTTACATGAAGGCTAACGTGATAAGAAACCTTATCGCTACGAAGGTACGGACATGCACAAGAGAATCAGAAGAGGTGGATCGGAGAATAGCGAAGATCTTGGAAGAGAACGGGTACACGACGATCGAGCCAAGAACATGGCGACCTTTCTTTGCTACTGGAGGAGTACCATTGGTTTTACCATATATCAACGAAAGAATAGCAAAGAAAGTGAATCACAGCATCAAGTCGTCGCATCTTCCAGTCAAGCTAATATTCCGGCCACCCGAAAATCTGAGAAGCTTGCTAACATCATCCCGTATCTATGAAGAGAAATGTGGCCGAAGTAACTGTTCCTACTGTACAGAGAATAAAATCTGCCAGCTACGTGGGACAGTCTACTTGGTCACATGCGAAGGATGCAGTCGAAAGTATGTTGGAGAAACGATGCGACCGTTATATGTAAGGATGGACGAACATGTGCGAGCCTTAAGAAATCCCTCGTCTTACCCCAGAAGCGGATTCTCACGGCATCGCACGCTCTTTCATCAACAAGAAGCCCCTCCCCAACTAAAAGTCACGGTTTTGCACCGCTCGAAGGAAAGGAAGTTGCTCGAGGCAATCGCTA